GTCTTTTTACTTGCTCCTATGTCGAGGTCCTTCATCACCGCATAGCTAAATGACACAACCTTATTCGTCTCTCAATCACAGATGAAACGGCTGTCGGTCATAAAGATATTGACAGTTGGAAGCAGCAATATTAGGTCATTCAATGGCGCCTAATTAGACCGTCTAGGTCGTTAGCCTGATTCTTGTTATTCAGTAGGTTCATAGTTGAGGTCTATAGAAATTTGAAAAATTAAAAAAGTTAGTTCAAATTTGTTTGTTTACATGATGTGTAACTCTATAATAACAGAAGATTACTATCATTTTCAAGAATTTACTAACTGTACATTATGTCACCTATATTTTCTAAAAAACTCCATTTTGTATACTTCCTTCAATTCGTAAAGTTATAAGATACACTGTTGACAATTGTATGGAGAATTCATACATGTACGATTTTTTGTAAAAAGAATTGTTCAATAGATATGTTCAATTTTCCAATAATTGTATTCGCTCATCTTGTAATTCACGACTCATTAAGACTCAGGACTGTATTTTACTAGATTCGTTAATTTTTTGCGCTTTGCATCACTTGCATTTGATATTCTGAAGCATCCCAATGGTGCGAGAACTCAAGTTTTCGTAAATTATTTGTGCATCACATTTCAACATACCTAATGGCTTTAAAGCTACAAAATAAGTATGTTATTGAATATAAGATATACAGCTGCTTGTATTTTATGCTTAGCCTTGTGTCAACTTTCATTCAAAACCTTTTCTTAGGGTTTGTCTGTCAGTAAATGTTTTGTTCATTCACTATTTAAATAATATGTCAGTCAGCTAAAAACGTAGAACTTCGCACGTATGTATATCAGTTTTAGTTGCCATACCACATAAGCACACAGAGATCGAATTTTCAATTCAAATTTCATAGTATTAGATGTTATAGAATTATTAGTGATAATGGAAAAGGTTAAGGTTTGAAGAAATTATTCATGAAGTATAATCCACTGAAGTAAGTTTAAAAGGAGATAAGAAAAGGTCCTGAGTTCAAGTGGTTATGGGAGAAGACAAAGAATGATTGCACCTGCACCATCGCAAACGAATTTGAGCCATGTCATTCAAAGTCTCTAACCATCGGTTTCCGATGCCTCGTGGACCCCAAACAGGTATTCTACATCTACCACCATGGCTCAGTTCACTCGTGGGTGGTTTTATGAATAATTTCTTCAAACCTTAATCTTTTCCATTATCACTAATACTTCTATTACATCTAATACTATGAAATTTGAATTGAAAATTCGATCTCTGTGTGCTTATGTGGTATGGCAACTAGAGGTAGTGGAAGTATTAGGAGTACTCGGAGAGATTAAGGTTCGACGATTTTATTCAAGAAGTATAACCTAGTGAACGAAACTTAAAAAGAAAAAAAGATAAAGGTGATACGGAATTTAAGATTTTAGGATTTAAGAGAACACAAAGAGTGGATTCACGTTTGCCATTGCAAACAGTTTCAAACCGTGTCATTTAGGTTCTCTAACCATCAATTACTATCATCTTGCGGGCCCAAACCAGATAGCCTACATCTAACAACATGACTCAGCCCAATTGTCAGTGACTTTATGGATTTCTGGCATGTTTTGGTCTGGCCGCCCCTAGCTTTCGTCCAACCTATTCCTACACCGCAAAATATAGCTCGACGAGGCAGTCGGTGGTTAGCCATACGTAACACATGTCCCAACCACCTCAACTGATGGAGTTTCAATACTTCGTCTATTGATCTGGCATCCCTACTTAGCACCCGTTTCCTAATAACCGAGTCGCTCACTCGGGTGTCCCAGGATATACGCGCAATGCTTCGAAGACACCTATGATCGAAAACAAACCACTTTCGAATATCTTCTACTCTTACTGGCCACGTTTCTCAGCCATAATGCAGGACGGAGCGAACTGCTGTTCAGTACACTCGTCCTTTGGTTTAGCAAACGGATATCTTGCCTACGCCATGAGTGACGCAGGTTGACAAAAGCCAACCGAGCCTTCTGTATCCGTGCTGAGATTTTATCAGTCACCAGGCCATCAGGACTGATGAGACTCCCAAGATAAGTGAAGCGGTCTACTCGCTCGACTACTTCACTCCCTATCACTAGTTCAGGTGCCGATGCAACCCAATCTTGAAGCAACATTTTGCATTTCGAGGGCGAAAACCGCATCCCAAACATGCTTGCGTTGTTACTCAGGGTAGTTGGAACACTGCATTTTGTAAGCCTCTTCACCAAATAGACGTATGTCATCGGCATATTTTAAGTCAACAAGCGAGTCTCCATGTAGAAAATCCACTCCTGAACATTCAGACGAAGATAATGTTATATCTAGAAACAGGCGAACGACAAAATTTAACAAAAATGGAGAGATTGGACAGCCCTGTCGCTCGTCACTTGAAGTAAAGAATTCCGATAGCAGTTCTCCATTAGCTCTCACCCGAGTACAGAGCTTGTATAAGGTTAATGTACTTATTTGGTACTGCCACAGAACCTCACGTTCCACAGAGTTAAATGCCGCCTTAAGCTCCAGGAAGACAACTATTGTAAGACACCTAAATGTTTGCTTGTGTTCCAGGACCTGTCATAGTGTGAATATGTGGTCTATACAGCAACATCCAGGTCTGAAACCAGTGTGGTGACTAGAGAGGTTGATAAGGTGTTTATACTTGTGTTTGCATGTTCGTAGTTGGGAACTATACCTACTGACCTACTATTCTTTATCTCAAGTGTGGTTATTTAGAAAATAAAGCTCAATATTGAGTAATCTTCTAAAAGTTGTGGTGTCTTAGTCAGATGAAACCTGGACACATTTCCATTCAATTAAACTCACAAACGTAATTTAATGAGTTTGGCTCTAGAAAGTTAAATTTCCTTTTTTCTGTGATGTTAAATGTGGCAGACGTATATATTTACCGGTTACTTTTTCACTGATGATTATAGCTAATTTTCTCGTTTACCACATCTGATGCTCTCTTGTTTGCATAACTCTGTATCACTAGATTTAATGATTCTCAAACATGAACATTCGAAAGTTCATGCCATATGAACTATAACTCAACCAACTACGGTTCGAGTCCTTGTTTATGTGTCACATAATAATGCAGAAAATGGCCTCTTAACTCCAGGTCGACGATCTTTGTGAACGCAAAAGCTAATCTAAAGCAAGTTTAGACAACAGAATCTGATAGGTTAATCCATGAGATCACTAAGGATTACAGTCCAATTTTAGCAGTTATATTGATTGAGATGCGATATGGCAACCTGAACTATGTTGTATCTGTCTGTCTCTGTCTAAGTAAGTCTAGCAACTGGACTTCTTTTGATTGCTAACCGCAAAGTTTTCAATTTGGTTAACACGGTACCCAAATTATTAGCCTCAGCAACGATCCAACTGTGTTATGATGCTGCTACGTAGCTATTCAAATCCTACCGACGTCCAAATCCAGATATTTCAATACGAGCCAAATACTATTCCCAAATCTCCTATATATCAGAACACAACACCGTTAGATGAAGTTGTTTAATGGGTCGTGTATAGTAGAGAGGAAGGCAGAAAGTAACGGAATCAAAAGCTTTACAGATAATGCCTATTTATACATTTAGGTCGAATAAGAAACAGCATCGAAGTCTGTGACATTGACAGTTAAGACGACCAATAGGAAACAACATTTGAAGTGACATTGATGGTCAGGACAACCAATAAGAAACAACATCGGAGTACGTGACATTGATATCTAGGATGACCATAAAATTGACCAGTAGGTATTAACCAATAGGAGTTAACCAATAATTCTCTTAGGATATTGGACGAATATCCTTACACTCTGAGATAAGGCTTGTGAACAGCAAAACTGGGAGGACGAGGTTAACTTCAGATGCGAAAGTGTGTGTACTGATCAAGTATTGACCCGTAAGGTATCAGCTGTGTTAACCAATAAGTTTTGTGACATTTTTCAATGAAAATAGCGCATAGACCTTGTGAAAATTCTCTACTCGGGCACTAGTGGTTGAGTCCGAGTTCTATGTAAAAAATTTTTATAGGTAGATTTCTCATCGTCTAAATTTTCAGGAATTGATCTCTTATTTGTATATTCACTTGTTGACTTACAATACATAAATGATGTGTAATAAAATATATGTAATAAAAATGCTAAGAAAACACAGCCTTCTGAACTCATCGAGCAATAATGCAAGTATGTTTCACAGCCATAAAGTAAGACGGAGCGAACTACTGCACAGTACACTCGTCCTTTGGTGAGCAAGCGGATATTTCGCCTGCGCCATAAGTGACGCAGGTTGACATAAGCCAACCGAGCCTTCTGTATCCGTGCTGAGATTTCGTCACAAACCAGGCCATCAGGACTGATTAGACTCCAGAGATAAGTGAAGTGATCAACACGCTCGACTGCTTCACTGCCTATCACTAGTTCAGGTGCCGATGCAACCCAATCTTGAAGCAACATTTTGCATTTCGAGGGCGAAAACCGCATCCCGAACATGCTTGCATTGTTGCTTATGGTAGTGAGAAGACTGCATTTTGTCAGCCTCTTCACCAAGTAGGACTATGTCATCGGCATATTCTAGGTCAGTAAGCGATTTTCCTGGTAGAAAATCGACTCCTGAAAATTCAGACGAGGATAAGGTGACATCTAGCAGCATGTCTATGACAACATTAAACAAAATTTGGGGAAAGTGGACATCCCTAACGGACACCACTTGAAGTAGAGAATTCAGATGACAGTTCGCCATAAGCTCACACCCGACCAGTGGTGTTCGAGTAGAGAGCTTGTATAAGGTTAATGTACTTATTTGGTACACCTTTCAATGACAGACACTGCCACAGAACCTCACGATCCACTGAGTCGAATGCCGCCTTAAGGCCCAGGAAAACAACTATTGTAGGACGCCTGAATGTATGCCTGTGTTCCAGGACCTGTCGTAGTGTGAAGATGTGGTCTATACAGCCATGTCCAGGTCTGAAACCAGCCTGGTTTTCTCTAGTCTTCTATTCACGAGCACTAGTAAGGCGTCTAAGCATAATCGAGGCTAACAATTTAGAAACTATATTAGTTAGACTGATTCCCCTGTGATTGTCACAAGAAGACTTTTGTCCTTTCTTATAAGTTGGGACAATCAGTGATTGAGACCAGTCAGATGGGATTGTGTCCAGTTCCCAGATTCTACCTAAGATCTCAGTTAACCTAGCTAAAACTGAAAGTATATTAAATTTCAAGACTTAAAGTAAACTAAAAATATAAATGCATCTACGTCACAAACCAGCTGTGAGCAACGTTACCCGATATCTTCCATCGCTGATCAAAGTTATTGCCCAGATTCCAACCACCTAGTCTGGATCTACCAAGATAGCTTAGATTAGGAGTCGGGGACTTCATGGATTAATTCCGTGTTTTCGTCTGAGCGACGCTAACTTTCCTCTAATATACTCTTCCACTAATAAATATTGCACATCATACAGTAGTTGTGTATACGTAACACTTCCCACTCCTCTCAGTCTATGAAGATTCGTCTTAAAAAAATATAAAAGAATTACTAAAGTAGCTGAAACTAGTGAACTGTTTTTATCCACAAAAATTTTATTTTGAAATGTGGAGGAAATTTTGCCTACTACTTTCTTAAAAACACTATCTATGTTAGGTTACATTGGTTCCAACTGCAGGGTTTCTTTAGTTACATCAGACCATCTACGTGGTCTGCCCAATATACTCGTCTTGTGACTTGCGGTTCATATTTATAATTATACGAATGTGCTTGTAGCCAGGTTTTGAAGAATTTGTCTCTGTAGGTTACATGTAAACTATGCACGCAAATATTTTTATGATGTGTATCCAAAATTTCTACGAACAAATCTCAGTTGAAAGCAATTTTCAAAGCCCTCTAACATGTGAGGTGTCATGATGAGCTTGAATATCTGTGGGTGATCCAGTTGATTCCAAAGATTAACACTAAGCAATAATTTGTTAGTTCACCATCTTTCTTCAGTTGATTGTTTGCATCATAAATCAAATTAAATAAATCTCATTTATGGTGTAAAAAATTTTCTGTTAAAAACTGATGATTCTTATTTCTGTGCTTAAACTTTTACTTATGTAGACGAAATTCATACTTTTATAATATGGAAAAAGGTCAGACGTCTCGTAAACAAAACAAAGAAAAATTACAAAAGTAAGTCAATTGTTATTTGTTTCTTATCTTGTATAATGTAAGGTGGTAGTAGTTAGAGGGGTAGTCAATAGGAAACCCTGGATCTGGGTTTTGTACTGTTTGGTACTTTTCAGCATGACGTACTTGTAATCTTAAGGAAACTGATACTCTCTAGTAGATTCAATCTCGTGTCACCCAGCTTCATAGTGTAAACTTATGTGCTTAATTCACACATTCAACAAGAATATTAATTTTAAAGTTGTGCATCAATTACATTTCGCTGGTGCATTATAAACTCTCCAAAAATTGAGCGTTTCACTTGGGATTACACGGTTTCGAATTAAATTGCATATTTCCTACAATTTATCTGGAAGGTATTCAGTAAACAATTAATTGATCAATTAATTTATTCTTTTTGGAAGCCCATTCAGTTTACAAATTTTACTAAATAGAGTCATGATTAATATTCTCAATACGAATTTCTTTTCATGTGTAATCAGTATATCGTTTTCTAAATGGCATCCACTTTGTTTTCACATTGAACGTCTTGAGCTGTCCTCCGGAAGAAGAAATAAATTGATTATTTTTTAACTGGAAACTTTGTGTAATTTGTAATCTGTCAACCTTTTCTTATACTCAATCCAAGTTATTATTAGTCATATGGCCCAAAAGTTATGAGTGTAGTATATTTCTGAGTTTTGTAAATCGCCATAAGAAGCCTATGTCGCCTGTGGTGCAGACAACATATCTGTCTGCTAACCAAAGGCCCCAGTCTACTGCACAGCAGATCGCTCCGTTTTACTTTACAGGTGTGAAACGTAGCCATTAAGAATAGAGAATATTCGCAGGCTATTACTGTCCCACCACAGGTGTCCTTGAAGTGTTGCTCGTGTATTCTGGGATCACCAAGTAAGCAATGCTTGGGTTAGGAATAGCGTATTAGGTAAGAATGGCAAACCGATTAATGAAGTAATGCATTATCATCAACTATGGAGGTTGAGATATGTTATGTATGCTCAACCACTGACTACTCTGATGAGCTATGTAATCGGGTGCAGGAGTACACTAGAAGAAGGCTAGGGGTGGCCAAACCAAAATACGGCACCAGTTCATGAAGTCATTGACATTTGAAGTGAGCTGCGTTAGTAGGTGTAGACTAGCTGGTTAGGGTGGGAGTGACAGTCATAACTGGTGAGTAAAAACCTTCAGTGGCATCGCTCAAAATTGTTTAGGACGGAACAAGCTCATTCATTCTCTGTCTTCGCCCTAATTCTAAGCTTCAGAACTCCTCATGACCCTTTTTTCTTCTCCAAAATTATTTTACTGGATTTTTACTTCTGTATGCTTTTATTTTATTCAGTATGTTACATCTGTTATTGAAGATAATTATGACAATGAGATGATTATATTGATTACTGACATTTTTCTAGTTCATTCGATAACAATCCAATAGATATGCTTGAAATCAATAGCTAATGAAAGTCTACCGCGAATTTACATTTCAATATATCTAGTAGTTTGCTCTCTCAAAGATATATTTATACATGCATATATATATATATATACCCGTGTATATAATATATATGTGGTTGTCTGTGATTTCAATGCATGACAAAGGTGAGCTACCTGTCAAAAAATATATTATTCAATAACGTGAGAAATACAAGACTTTACTAGTCATAATTATTCATTGTATTCATCAGTTCTTATACTATTCTTCTTGTCATTATTATTTGTATTTCAATGTTTCGCTTCGGTCGTATGTTTTCTAGTTTTTTTTCTTTTTCTACAGAGAAAGTCACAGTGAAATTGAAAGAAAACGACGTGAACGTATGAAATTAGAAACGGAATTTCTACATCGTCAAGTACCACATTTACAATGTAAAGATAAATTATCCATTTTTCTTGCTGGAGCTGAACGACTTATTCATTATAATAGTATGTTTAATGTTTACTAATTACTGTAATATTAAAACTAATAATAAAAATAATAATTACTATTATTATCATTATTATTATTATTAATATTAATATTCTCCCTAAATATATTGTCTACTTTATTTAGATAAATTAGGAAAAAGAGAATATATCATCAATGATGAAGAGTATTCACGAATTGTTATGAATGTAAGATTTATTCATTTCAACATTTTATTAAATATATTTTATAATAATAGTCTATTAATGGATTTGGTATACATGTCAAATGTTCCAGTGGAGAAATATTATATGAAGAAAATTCTGAAAAAATACTTGATATTCCTCAGGTTAGTTTTTTGTCAATAATTAATTTTCATATGCGGTGAACTGTGTTATTATTATTATTCTTTTTGACAAAGGGAAGTTTATAAGCAAATATAATGTATCTGACAATTTAAACTTAGTCATATAAATTTAACTGTTGAGTAACATGGTCATTAGTTTGATCCACTTCGATCTAATTCAGTTCGCGTAACCTTTTTTCGCATTACTGATATATCACCTACGACCCATTGAATATGATAACTATACACATAATTACTAATAATAAATTTATGGCCCAGATTGCTTTGATAATTCACTTTCTGCAATTTGTATTACATTTTATTTTGAAACTATTCAATTGGATATATCATACTGGGTGGTGTTAACTTAACTTAGAATTATGCGATTGTAAATTTTAAGTTTATTTCACTAGATTCTAATTCTTGAATAATATCGTCGGACCCTAAAATTTCCGATTACTGCTAACACTTCTACTACCTCTACTACTATAGGATTTGAAGTGAAAATTGCATCTGTGTGCTAATGTGGTATGGCAACTTGAACTGATGTACGTACGTACGAAGTTCTACGTTGCTGTTGAATGACTGACTGACTGACTGCAACTTTTGAAATAAAAATTTCCCAGAAACGATCTAACCGTAGACGAATAGGTTACGAATGAAATTTTTACAACGTTGAAAAGACAGTATGAATAAAGTACTTTTAAGTTATTAATCCAAAGCCTAGTACTTTTTCTAAAATATTGTAAGTGCAAACCTACAGTCTTCAATACGGTATAGTAACTTGTAGAGATTCTTATGTTAACATTAATAACTTATTTATCTAATAAATAGCTATATAACTTGATATAATATTTAACACTGAATTATAATTGCAAACTAACAAAGTGTATATCAATTGTTACCAAAAAAACAATTGTCTTATTCTATTTTATAACTGATTAATTATTGAAGATTATTGGCATGAATAGAAATTCTAACAATAAATCAAACATTCTAATCGTAAAAAATTCAAATAATCTGTTAAATAAAATTTATGTACAAGTTTTCTGATAATTCTACCTTTATGACAATTCTCATTGTGAAGTATAGATGTTGGGTGTATAGTATTGTAAAGCATGTATTATGTTATGTGTTTTACGTGTGAATCCCATTGTAATTACATTTCGTTGCTTTAATAACCGATAACTCAGTGGTTATAACATTCAGCTTTCTTCAATCGATAAGTCGTAGATTGGAATCTCGATTTATCCACTTTATTTTGATGAGTTGAATGATATCACAAGTTCTCATTCACGCAAAGGTAGCTTAAAATAGATAGACATAATCATTAGGTGGATAGTAGTTTGTATAATTTGATTCTATAATCAATAGACAAGGAAGAGAAACTATATTAATCACAACAATATTTCTGCTTCATAAACTTGAATAGTTACTATTATGCAAGGTTGTGAGGTTCAATGAACTCATGTACTGACACTACAAGTTGAAAATACGTAATTAGTTCTTTAAAAACAACAAATCAATAGTCCAAAAAAGGTATTACAGTGTTTAAACAATTGAGCAGACCTTGCATAATCAGATCATATTATTATGATGCGGAATTTTAAATTCTAGTTTTTAAGTCGCGTATTAATTTTTTTTGTTGGTTATTCTTGAATTATCATTTTTTTTTTAAAAATATATTGAACACCATCAATACAATTGTCTGATTTATAATAATTTGTTTCACTGTCTTTGTATATTATACTCACATTGTGTGGGTTTTTATTTTTCATGGCATTGTAGATTAATTTCCTAGGCAAAACACTTTACGATTTAGCTGAACCAAGTGTGAATACAAAACGAATTATCACTGATAGTCTCATGTTTTATGGTTCAGAGATGCAACAAGCAAAAGATGGACGTAAGCACTTATAAAACTATTGTAAAATATACAGTTATATTTGAATTATTTCAGTAAATACTAACTATTATCGAATTTATTGAAGAATCTTAAGTATACCAATGATGTTCCTTTTTTTTCTTTACAATAGTATGTGCTACAAATGATGTTACATTTTTGTATTATTAGTATAGGGTTGTGGAGTGTTGTAACGCTGCTACGTATCGCTATTCAGTCCTAGCGGCGTCCAGTTCAAATATCCCAATACGACCCAAAATGCTATTTCCAAATCTCCTAGATATCAGAACGCAACACCATTGGAAGGAGTTGTTTATTGGGTCGAGTACAGAAGAGAGGTAGGCAGGAGAACGGAATCGGAATCATGAAGGCTTACAGATAGTGCGTATTTATACATTAAGGTCGAATAGGAAAGAGCATCAAAGTCTGTGACATTGACAGTTTAGGACGACCAATAGGAAAGAACATTTGAAATGACATTGACAGTCCGGAAGACCAATCAGAGACAACATTGAAGTATTTGACTTTGACAGTTAAAACGACCATAATTTTGACCAATAGAAATCAACCAACAGGATTATACTTCCAAATATAGTACTCTTAGGATATTTGGCGAATATCCTAACATGGAGATTGTTGAGTTTAGTTGAAATCATAAATTGATCAATGTTAGACCATCATTGAAAACCCAGAAATCATTCGACGGTCACTTTGTCTTATTATGGAACTCCTTAATAGTGCATATCCATGATCACGCACTCGTGATTATGTCATTGAACCATAGGTCTGTTTCAACTCACAAATCTTTCGCCGAATAATATGCGTATATTTTTCGCTGAATTGACCACATAGTTCACGCATACATCTTTTATCTATAAGTGAAGCAATTGGTACCCTTAAAACAAACCTAACTATTATGTTCATTAAAAACTTGTGCAATCACCATCAAATTTTTAAATACTAGAGTGAGTTACAAATAACTTATTGTCAATGTCTTTTTTCTCAAGAGTTCCTACTTCTCTATCATCGTTGCTTAACTGTTGCATATCATTCATTTCACACTTCCCTAACTGTTGGAATTATTTGAATTAACAAAAAGTGGTCTATATTCTGCTGGTATATTATTCTTTTAAATTATATTATTTTGTTGCGGGGTTGTTGTGAAGATTGTTAAGTTTTATTTGTAACCATGAATCGATCAATGTTAGACCACCATTAGAAGCCTGGAAGCACTGGACGGCCGTTTCGTCCTGGTAAGGGACTCATCAGCAGTGCGCATCCACGACTCCTGCACCCCGCAGGATTCAAACCTAGGACCTTCGGTATTTTTTCCTTGTACTTAACGTTAATATTTGCTAGGAATATGCGCTTATATGAGCATAGGCTTCTGCAGACGGTCGCCATTATCTGTTCGTTATCTCTGTTCTTGTCTAAAAGGCCTTGGCTTCGGAGACGGAAGTTCATGAAGTTAGGTGAGGTGTGACAGCATCGCTGCAGATGCTGGTTGTCCGAGGGAAACACCTTACTGCTGTCACACCCCTCTTCATTTATCATTATGACTTCGGTTTTGGTCTCATCGTTCTCCAGTCGACTTACCTGGCATGGTAGAACCTACAGAAACATATTTCCGAGCCAATATAGCTCGGTTGGGTCATCACGATAGACAAGCCCGACAACACCACCTCAAGGAGGAGGCAACTGCGCTCGGGTGGGCTTACTTATTGTGATGACTCAACTAAGATGTATTGGCTGAAACACGTTTCTTTGGATTCTAGCATGCAAGATAGGTTGGCTGGAGAAAGGTAAGAATGAAAGTAGCAACTTAGAGTCTGAGGGTGAAGCCGTACTGCTGTCTGTTGTAGGCTGGTAGATAGCTAGAGGTAGGCAAACTAAAACGTGATGCTAGTCCATGAATTCATTGACATTTCGAGTGAGCTGTGTTATTAGGTTTCAACTTCCAAATATAGGGTCCGCATAACAACCGTAACCGGTGGTTAGAGGCCTTAAATGACATGGTGGAGTTTCGTTCTCTCAGCTGTATGTTTTGGTCATGTAGCTTTTATTGTTCTTGTAAACAACATCAACGGCACAAACCTCAGGAATTTTTCTCCACTACAAATAACATGGCTCAAAATCATTTGCAACGGAATAGGTGCATCCGTTCTTTGTCTTCCCCTAAGTTCTAAGCCTCAGAGCCCCTCATGACCCCTTTTTTATTCAAAATTATTTCACTGGTTTACGTAATTTTTGATGAGTAGTATTTGATCGCAGCATATTATATATATATATATATATATATATATATATATATATATATATAATATTAGTGTTGAGTCATGAAGAAAAACTTATTGAAAAGAAATTTCTCTCTATTCTTCAACAAAATTAGCGATAACACAAGCGCGTGATCTAAACAATTTACAAAATCGAAAATATGAGCTAGTAAAATAAGATTTCGAATGCATTATAGTAGTAAAAGCAGTCAACTGTTTTCAACCATAAAATATTTTATAATAGATTTCGTGACCTTTCAACATTGAGACATAGTGTAGTTCAAAGTTCAACAATTCAGCACTAAAAGATTTACGTGAAATAATCATCTTTTTATAGCTAACTCTATTTCCATAGTTTAAATCACGAACTGATCGTAGCTAAACCACTCCTGGAAACCAGGAAGTACTGAAAAACTGGTTTGTCTTAGTGTGGGGCTCTTTAGCAGTGCACGTTTGCGACACCGCCATAGAGGATTGAAACACACGGTTCTCGGTTTCTCAGGCAAACGCTTAATATGTAAATCACTGATCCGGCATCCAATCGTGTACATATCTAACTACAAGTGATTCACAATACTGTGTATTCGTCATGCATTATCCATGCGATGAATAACTGTCTCATACTTGAAATGATTAAATTCCATTAGTAATAGGTTATTATTAAAACTTCAGGCGCTGCATCTTGAAGCCTGTTACTAATGAGCACATGATAATTATCAGAATAAATAAAATCGATCAAATTAAAAGAACTTTTTGAGTAACCTAACTCGGTGTTTTTCGTTTAGCAATTGTGGTTGTCTAGCTAAGATCTGTTCGTGATTTAAACTATACAGGTTCTACAATCTCAAACCACTGGATACTAATAATATTCATCATTTTTTATACTTTATAAACATATACAGTGTGCGATTTCAACAAATCACATAATTTGTGTATACGAATGTGAATAGTTTTCAAAGAAATTATAAATTTAACAACTTACCATTCAAAGTATTTTGGTTAAATACTTGATAAGACAGTATTTAAAATCCGATTGAAACTTTCTATCTTCAAGTTCGACAGATATTATTTTAAAAGAAAACGACTTTATTAATTCAGATTTTAAATGTCCAATAGTATTCAAATGATATCGGTTGGTAAGAAAAGCTTCCTTCAAATTATTCAGCTCTTGAAAAACTCTAAATTGGTTGGTAATCTACATCTTACTCATTGATAATTCACTTGCGAAAAGTATTTATCTCAAGTTTGTTTACAGAGGCTTCGTTATTGAATGCAGGAAATAGTTGAGCCACGGTAGATGTCCGCTAAAATTAGAAATTAGCTGTTAGCGGTTGACCATTCACGTGTTCGCTTAAGATTTGTTAATGAATACTCGCATCCAATAAGACTCAATAATCTGAACATTCAATGTTGAATTATGAGCAATAAGTTCGAAGATTTGTCTTAGATATCTGATATGAGCGATTACTTATCCGTCCGAAACCAGTAACCTCAAGCCAGCAGCTAAGCTGCTATTGGTTAAATTTTCATTGCCTTCTCATTGAGTCCACAAGTTAGCAATCCGTTTGTACTGTATTCGGATTTCAAACGCAGACCAAACTGCGTCAGACCACAAAATAAATACAATACATACTTACTTTCTTTACACATTGAAATCATGAATCAATCAGTGTTAGACCACCGTTAGAAACCTAGCAGCACTTGATGGCAGTTTCGTCCTGGTATGGGGCTCATCTTCAGTGCACATCTACGACTTTTACTCGCAGGATTCGAACCTAGGACCTTCGGTGTTGCACGCGAACACCTAGCCTCTGGATCACTGAGCTGGCATCCAGTGGTATTAACGTCTAACTCGGATCAATCTAGGGATACTTTCGTCTGTTATTCCTAATGATGAACAGGCCACCGACCAGCATTTTCCAACCTTCTCTTTCCTGGGTCTTCCTTTTCGGTTCTACCTTCCTTTGGTCCTGAGGAATCCAAGCTAGGCCTTGCCTCGTGACAGTTTAGTGAATATCCCAGTCTGTGTCTGATCCACTGCCAGCGCTGAGTTTCTTGTGGATGATGACTGTTGTAGTTCTCTAAGCCTTCGTTCCGTACAATAGAACTGTCTTGATGTTTGTATTGAAAATTCTGACCTTCATCCATAGGAATACTGATCTTGCCTTGCTAATCTGTGTCTTTACATCGGCATCAGATCCACCTTGTTTATCAATAATTCTGCCCAGGTATGTAAAGGTTTTTACACCTTTCAAAGATTCTCCATCACGTGTGATTTGGTTGGTGCATATTGTGTTATGTCGGAGGATCATGCTTTTTCTCTTGTGTACGTTGAGACCTACTGTTGTATAGGCTACTGCTACACTGGTCACCTTCATCTGCATTTGTCGTTGTGTGGGAGATAGAGTGATCCAGATCTTTCAGCTGTAGCTGAGCTGTCCTCTGCATTCTGTGCTTCCCCTCGGATGTTGACGTCTTCATCATCCAATCAACCACTAGGAGAAATAGAAAGGGTAAAAGTAAACAGCCTTGTATGATACCAGTCTTCACTTCGAACGAATCTGTGAGCTGTCCTCCATTCACGATCTTGCAGTTTAATCCATCATAGGAATTCTGCACAATGTTGAATATTACCTCAGGCACACCATAGTGTCGAGGATACTTCCATAGTATTATCCTGTCCATGCTGTCAGATGCTTTTTCGCAATCAATTAAGTTGATGTAAAGTGGTGAATTTCAGTCAGTTGATTGTCCCACAATGATCCATAGTGTCGCGATTTGGTCGGTACATGATCGAACCTAACAGAATCTAGCAAAATAATACATGAACTAGTTAAAATTGGCTGAGACTCAGGGAGACTAGACAATAAACTGGCAATCAAATAGTAATTATAAGTTATATGACAATAGTTTATGCTTGAGCCGAAAGCTTGTAATTAATGATATATTTGTACATAAGAATTTAGTCATTCAATAATTATAGAATAAGAATATAATAATAGTAATCCGGAAGTTAGTTCTGCGAGTTATACTCCCTTCAGTCTTTATTCTGATTTAACACCTCAAGGTCCTTTTTTTACCATTCATATGAAAAAACTGCTATACCATTATTCCAGCCATAATAAGCATCTTTTACATTTCAATTTGTCTTGTGCTTCCAGTAGACTCTCTTTGTCCCCCAAAGCATCTTAATGTAACATTGGTATTTGCTTTATCCTCATTAGGTACAGTAGGTTGCTGCATCCCATATATATGTATGTTACAATTGAACTGTTTATATCCTTCATTCACTTTGTCTGTGTAGCTATGATAATTAACTCTAAATTGATTAAGTAGCTGTTAGCAACTATAAAAAATACAATCATTTGAAACTCTTTTTTTTGGAATAATAATGATTCCCATTGTGAAAACTATAGCAACAATATATAGGCGAACAATATTGTTTCCAATTAGATCATCATCAGACTTTACTCTAGTATACATGAATATTAATATGAAAATGTTCATACTACCTGATGGGTTTAATGTATGGTAATGATCATTTTAAGTTTATTTATCTACGTTTGATCTACTATTTCTAATGTTGCATTACTGATAAAACTTTTGTTATCGTATTTTATTATTCTCATTACTACTACTACCAGTACATTTACCTTCCTACTATCAATTTGTACTTTTATCCACTTTGCATAGTAACTTAATCTTTTTCATTATGATTATTGATTCATTAATTGCCTTGATTGGTTTAACATTTTCATCATAAATATTCATGTATATTGGACAGTAAAGCCTGATGACGATCTAATTGAAAATAATATTGTTCACTTTAGATGTGTTGTTGTTGAATACTTTTCTCTTATTCTAAATATTATGAATTGTGATTATTATAAATTTGTAGAGCTGATTTCACGGAATTTTGTCATTGCTATGCGTTGTGGATCTGGTATTCCAGTGAAAAATTGTGTACGCGGTTCTGATGGTGAGCTGTATCGATTTATCGAATTCTGTGGTGATATTGTTTATCAAAGTATGTTTTTCTTTTTTCTGTGTAATGATAAATTGATTCGTTTTTGTTTATTTTGTCTATTTTCAAATCATAAAGAGATGAATAATTAAAAAGGTTGTAGAAAATCTTTTTGAATGATTCAATTTGATTTGAATAGAGTGAAAGAAAAACAACAACAACAACTTCAAAACTTGTCGAATACAATGAACTTCATTTTATTTATTCAAATCAGCTTCTTCATTATATATATATATATATATATATATATATATATATATATATATATCATAGTGAAGGAGAACACAGGTAGGGCAACCGGATTGTACTTAACGAAATTTACAAGGTTACTCAGTAAAATCGGAAAACCATATCGTAAATCGTTCATTTGCAAAATATCAGTCCATCATATCGAACTGGACTGTTTCTGTTTCAAAACATCAATCCATTATCACTATTCATGCGTTTCATACAAATTCCATTGTTTTCTAACTCTTCCTTTCTTGATCTTCCCCCATCTTCTGCTGCTGCCAGACATTACGTTGACACTCACGTCATATACTACTTATAAGTAGCTCACACCACATATATATGTATATATAAACAGACTAAAGTTAGAAAAAGTAGTAATAATTTCGGAACATTTATTTCACATATTTAAATTAGTAAAATTGAAATGGATCGTTGAAACTGGACAGAAAATTATTGGATAAAGAAGAAGAAGCAGCAAAATTGTGATATCAAACATGGTCTCTCTAAAATTGTTACTAAACTCTGTTTTAAAATCTGTGGAAGTAAAATTATTAGCATCTATTTTGTCGTCCAGCAAGTGTCTAATCTTTCACATAAGTTGTAATAATCCAAAATAAGATTCGAATAACTTGTCGGGAAAAACATAAAAACAAACTAAATCACTTTATATTATTATTATCATAATTTGTTTTCACATGGTTTACACTCGTTTTCTATCTTTTATTTTTGTATTTTATTCTAATCAATAATGTGACTGGATAAGTTTCGACTGATTGTGGTGGAGTTTCGTTCTTTGGGCTGGATGTTTTGGTTGTGAAGCTTTCATTGTTCCTTTGAACAATATCAGATAGAAGTCTGAATTTTGTACTGATGATGTTGTTCAGAAGAACAATGAAAGCTCCACAACCAAAACATCCAGATCAGAGAACGAAAGTTCACCACAATCACCCATCTGGGCTACAGATTTTCTCGACCGTTTCGACTCATCATCTAAGGAATCTAACATCATTAAATGTTAAGTTCTGAAAGCTTTGGTCTAAGGTGATACCTAATAATTGCATTATAAAACCAAATATGTTGTTTGGATTGCTGTTTTCAAATCTCATACATTGATGTCAATTTTTTGATGGGAAAGCTCAGATAAAAAAATTAACATATCTCACTTTTGATTTGAACAGAGACATTTATTCAAAGTATCAGTTGGGTGATAGAAAACTATTTTTCATTGACTGACTATAGAAAAGTCTCTGGTACGTCTGTCTGGCGACATCATGAGTTGATTTCGCTTGATAGTTCGGAACCGAGAAAGCTCTAATCTTCCGGGATCCGAGTTTCAAACCAGTTTTAGAGTCACCCAGTGGAATTGCTTAGTCTTACCATTCTTTTCAGTATATTGAGACGCTATCAATCACGTTTTATAATTGAAACCACTACTGATCTTAAAATTATATCTGCGGTAAACTGGTGCTCGGTACAGGAAACCGTGAAATTCATACAGAGATAAACAAAACATGGTAGATTAAAATTATATTCCCGATTTAAGAAAATATGACAATCAGTTTAACAAATTACATATTTTTATATCGATTTTCCTCACAACAAATGATTAGTTAACGAATATCATATAACCGAAATCTAGGAAATAAAAAAGTCGATATTAAGCAGAATTAATACTAAAAGCATTTTGCATGTTATGCTGGACTCAGTCAGTCAGTTACAACGTAGAAATTCGTACGTACGTCAGTTAAGGTTGCCATACCACATTAGCACAGAGATGCAATTGTCAATTCAAATCTCATAGTAGTAGAGATAGTAAAGGTATTAGAAGTAATTGGAGAGGTTAGGATTAGAATATATTATTTAATAAGTAAAATCTAATGAAACAAACTTAAAAATAAAAAGATGGAAGTTATGAGGAATTCAGAAGGTTAGGATTTGAGAGAACACAAAGTGTGGATGCACCTGCCGCATTATGCTGGCCTAATTTCATGTTAAAGTAATTCAAAGAACATCGTACTAAATAAATGTCACATTAACTTGAAGCAAGTTTCATACAATCACTCCTTAAAGTTTGATCATGTCATAGGCGATTGGAACAGATCGACTTCCTTGGTTGCTTATATTTCCGTCAGTTAAAACCTCGCCTATCAAATAAATTCTGCTCCTCAGAAGTAGTATAAATTTACTTTTCCTGAAAAGTAAAATTCACTTATGTTATACTCTTATTTAAATTATAACTCTTGTTTCTACATAGGAAGCTGTCATCTCATTACAACTGTACTCAGTCTATGGGATTCACCTAAATGTTTTAGCAGAAGCTTTCATTGTTCTTCTGAACAACATCATCAGCACAAAATTCAGATAGACTTCTATCTGAAAAACATCCAGCTCAGAGAACAAAATACCATCACAATCATCCACCTGAGCTACAAAATTTTCTCCGCCATCTCGAGACTGTTTGGTGCCCCAAAACTGTTTTGACTGATTCAATAACTGTGTTATCGCTAACTTTTTTACGACTTTATGTAACTTTTAGAAGATTGTGTACTACTGTTAGCACTACTGAACTAATTTATTTACTAGTCAAAATAATATTTTCTTTTTAAGTTCTTCACTTTATGCCATAATTTTTTTTGCGATCATTTGTTATCACTTTTATGAATCAGATTAACAATCGATCAAAAAAAATGCTTATCTACATCACACTACACATACTGTCTGAATAGAATGTTATGTCTGAAAACTTATCCAACAAAATCATCAATCAAATTTGCAATTTATATATTCGAAACTTATTTTATATGTTTATTTTCTTGTTATTATTAATGTGTTCTTGATGATTGTTGAATTATTTTCTCTTGTAAACTTAGATGATAGTAATCGTCCCGAAGCTTATTATTTATTCCGTGGTGTATGTCGACCGTTGGATATGGCTTGTCCAACTATTCCTGATAATACAAGATCTAGTAATCAAGGAAGTCCATTTGAGAACCACAGTTCACCTCATAAAAATGTCAGCTCTGATCATATTACTCTACGGATTGAAGTGAATAATTTATCAATAACAGAAGTTGTTGGCAAGTAAGTGTTATTCTTCTTACTGATAATGTATAAATTCGTATTGATTGTTTTCATTTATTGTATAATTATGTAACATGATTAACAGTCAATAGGTCTTATAGTTATAACATGTTACCATTCGTTATACGCTTACTGTAACTTATTTTCTAAATGTAAGTTTATGTATTTGTCTTTGAAGCAAATTGTTTGTGTTAGGGATAGAGATCGGCGAGATTTTTATTTATGGACAAATCAATCAGGTTTGAGATGTCAAGTTTCGGACTTCGGTGCGAAATTTATCCATTCGTATGGTTAAATAACATTTTGGCATTATAACTAATGTCAATTAGTGATAAAAATCCCTTACTTTAATTCCTATTCCTAATTCCTCACACTAATTTGTAACTCTTATTTAACCCTAGTAAGTAGGTGATTATTCTTAAGGTCACTTTGACATCACTGAAGGGTCGTGCATAAAATTTTAGTTTTACCTCGAGATTTTACTTTTTATTTAAACTGAAGTAAATGGATCAATCTTGGATGTCATCAAATACGAAGCAATATGTTAGTGTTTAAAGACTGTAAACATATAGTCGGTTTTAGCAACTGGAACCCTAAGTCATCCTAACCTTAACTTTCACACCTAGCATAAATTACAACGGGATACTAGTGCATCTTTTGTGTGTTTACAGACATTTAGCATCATCTCATTTCTAACATTCACATTTATTGTTTTTCTTAATATTCTATTTTATAATTACTTCATCACACTCTCCTCATTTAAATTCGTCATAACTCAATCAACTGTCAAATCTACACATCTTTATTGCTAGTTCAACTGCACACTTGATTGATGTGGGGTCGCTAAGTATCGGTTAGTATCGTCTCACGGACGCCAACCAGGTAGTCTACATCTACCAACATGACTCAGTTCACTTATCAGTGACTTCATGGATTTGTGACATGTTTCAGTTTGTCCGCCACTAGCTTTCTTCCAACCTGTTCCTACATCACAAAACATCGATCGTAGAGGCAGTCGGTGGTTGGGCATACGAAACATATATCCGAACTATCTCAACTGAAGAAGTTTCAATACTGCATCTATTGGTTGATCATCCCTACCTAGTACCCGTTTCCTAACGACAGTACTGCTTATTCGATTATCCCACGATACCCGAGCAATGCCTTAGAGACTCCTACGATCGAATACCAGTAACTGACGAATATCTCCTAATCTTACTGGTCATGTTTTGCAACCATAAAGCACAACAAAGCGAAGTAAACTCGTCCTTTGGGTAGCAAATGGATATCTCGCCTATGCCATAAATGACGCAGGTTGGCAAAAGCCAGTCGAGCCTTCTGTATCCGTGCTGAGATTTCGTCGGTCACCAGGCCATCGGCACTGATGAGACTAGCGAGATAAGTGAGGCGGTCTACACGTTTGACTACTTCACTCCCTATCACTAGTTCATGTGCCAATGCAACCCAATCTTGAAGCAACATTTTGCATTTCGACGGGGAAAACCGCATCCCGAACATGCTTGCATTGTCGCTTAGGGTGGTTAGAAAACTCTGCATTTTTTCAGCGTCTTCACCAAATAGAACTATGTCATCGGCATATATCTAAGTCAACTAGCAAGTCTCCTGGTAGAAGGTCCACTCTTGAAAATTCAGACGATGATAATGATAACTGTAAGAGCAGAACTACGACAAAGTTAAACTAGAATGCAGAGACTGGATATCCCTGACGGACACCACTTGAAGTAGAGAACTCCAATAACAGTTAGCAATAGGTTCTCATCCAACCAGTGTTCGAGTAGAGAGCTTGTATAAGGTTAATACACTCCTTTTGTACACCTTTTAATGACAGGCACTGCCACAGAGCGTGATGATCCACAGTCGAATGCTACCTTAAGGTCGAGAAATACTAATATTGTTGGACGACGAAATGTGTGTCTGTGTTCTAGGACCTGACGTAGTGTGAAAATGTGGTCTATACATCCACGTCCAGGTCGAAAACTTGCCTGATCTCTAGTCTGCTCTTCATGAGCTCTAGTTAAGCGTCGAAGTATTATCGTGGCTAACAATTTAGAAATTATATAATTTAGACTTATTCCTCTGTGACTGTCACAAAAGGACTTCTGTCCTTTCTTATAAATGGGGATCATCAGGGATTGAGACCCGTTTAATGGAATTCTTATTATCAGTTTCCTTAATAATGCGGAACAGTTGTCTGTCGTTGCCTATCATCGCTGCCTTTTCCATCTCTCTCTCTCTGCCGGTATGAATCGAAACAAATGCTCCAGAATGGGCGGCAGTCTTGAGTAGAACTTCTCCACCGAGGGTTGATAGCAATGTGGTCTAGTAGTTCCATTGTGGCGTCGGCTTCGGGGTTCGCCTGGTCAAGACATGTTTGTTCTTATGCCTGAAGTTAGTGTTTGCTAGAAATAGGCGATTATGTAAGCATAGCTGCATCGGACAGTCGCCATTATCTGATTTCTGAGCCACGACACCAAAGATCCACCCAGGTATTTTTCCTTTTCACTGAGTCTACCTACTTGAGCAATAAAATCTCCAGCAGTTATTACTACATCAAAGCACCTAACCTTCGGTAGGACGTCCGAAAGCTTTCTGTGAAACTCATCTTTTACCTCGTCTGAACTGCAGTCAGTGGGAGCGTATGCAGATACGATGAATGGGCAACGGCGAGTGTCTCTATCTTTACGAGTTCTTACAGACCCCCTTTTTGTCGGACAGCGTACAATCGAATATCTAATGGGATCCAGTCTAGGAGAGCTAGTTCTGCCCTAAGGCTTGATACTATACTTATGCCGGTGAAGCCACGGGAATCAGAGCTGCGAAGTACACGAATAGTAACTCGAGTTGATTCTTAATCTGGACGAGGTGAAATAGAATTAACAATTCTGCTCGGATACTGTATGCGCGTTTCAAAGACGCAGCATACATCGATGGCACGGGATTACAGAACCCTAGCCAGTGAAGCCTGTTACCCTATTTGACATAATTTACGGACATTAAAAGCTGCAACATGTAGTTTAGAATGGGGTTTCAGGAGATCAGAGATCATGTTTCGTGTACTCGGAACGTTTGATAGCAGGGTGTGAGGAGGGTTGGTGCTGGAGCTTGTGTTCTGTTACGGGTATGAGAGCGGATATCACTTCTCGGCTGTACACACCGCGGAATGATTTTAACTCTTCGAAATGAAAACTTTTCAATTCTAAGGGTATAGTTTAAATGATATTTTTGTTAGCGTTATTTTAAAAAGTTGCCTTTTACGAGGTGTGATTAACAACCCCTTACTGAATCCTTTTGCTTATCTACGCTTGGGACAGACAATAAGCTTAGAAATGTTTCAAGTGGAGTTACTTTTAAACATATATATTTAATAATTCTTGATAGTATTATATTTGTAATTTCATATTTATTTATTATTGTCAAAATTTCTTCAGTGCATTATCAATGCTTGGTTGGAATGCTAAAGATCTGTTACATAAACATATGGAAGAATTTGTTACCATTCCTGAACAAAATATTGTCACACATGCAATAGAAGAAAGTAAGTTCCAGATCTTTTTATTCAAGAGAATAGTCATTTTCATATTTTAAATGCATTAATTATCTGTATCATCATAGATGCTGTTATCCTGATATTCAAACATGGAACTGATGAAAATAATGTTGAATTAGTCTATAATGTTATGACGAAAATATTAGGTTTAATAAACTACTGCAAAATTTTATGCTTACTTAGTAATTAGCTAATGGAAACAAGCTAAAAAATTTCAACTAACGAATAATTATTCGGTAATAAAACTATTCGTTTATTGATTTAACATAATTTGTTATGAATAATATACAGCTATTACTTAACTAAAATAGCGCAATTCACTTGTGAAAATAAATCACGGATAACAATCAAGGTCGGAAATCGATCACATTTTATTAAATGGTTTCAAGTTTTCGTGAATTCTAATCATATTGAATGAGGTCACAACATATAAAGAATAATTTTGGTTACAGTAGCATCAAACTATTCAATTTATTATTACAATTGTAGTTGAGCCATGAAGAGACTTCGTAATCACGAATCGTGAATAAATTGTAATTCAGGATTGGAAATTTTGAAAAGAGAAGAATTGAATACTATTCAATATTGAATTTGTTTTATATATAAGTATGCTGATTAATTATTTTTTTGATTATTATAGCTATTAAAAATGGTTTGTCCACAATTTTCATTAATTGGTTAAACTGTGGGAAAACAAAGTCAGTGTACTTAAAAGCTGTGTTTACAACAATCCAATTAAATAGCTTTCTTTACTGCATTGTATGCAAATTATATTCTACTGAGTAAGTAGTTATTTTTCTTACGAAGTGTATATTTGATTAATAATTAGAGGTTAAATATTGAAATACAAAAAAAAACTAAATGCTATTGTAGTATTATAAATAGTAGTCTTTAGAGTAAACAAACTAAAATAAGTAGTTTTAAAAACTCAAAATCAGTAAATATTAAACATCCAGTTCCCGACCGTAACTGCTACCTTGACGTGGTGGTCGAGCTTGCTTATCGTGATGACCCAACCGAGCTATATTGGCTGGATCATACGTTCTTGTAGGTTCTACTATGCCAGGCAGGTCGATTGCAGAACGAGATTAAAAGCAGCTACTCAGGGCGAAGTCGTACTGCCGACTGCAAAGGGGAGTCACAGCAGTAAAGTGTTTCCCTCGAACAACCAGCATCTGCAACGATGCTGCCTTCTCAAAAAAAGGAAGGGGTTAGAAAATGTCAAAACTCACCTTATCTCACGGATTTCTGTCTCCGGCGGTAAGGGCTGTCCAATAAGGTAGGGCCATTTAAAGAGCGGAGCTAACACGTTAAAAACTTTCCATAAAAAGGCTGTGTGTGACCGGCCTGAAGCATTTGTTCGTTGGGCTCTGCAGTCTCTGAAAGCAATACTAAACCAACTTGTTTTTCAGGTTCATCAAGAAATATCCTTCCACGTTGTGTACAGCCGGGAAGTGATATCCGCCATCATACCCGTAAGAGTACACGAGGACGAATAAGTCACAATCAAATCCTTCCTACACCCTCTAACATATGTCTTATCTCCACGACCAACCCTTCTCACACTACTTTATCAAACGATTCGAGTACACGAAACATAATCTCTGGTCTCCTGAAAACCCATTCTAAACTATATGTTGGAGCTGGTAATGCCCGAACCTAATGTATAATAGGACAATAGGCCTCCTTAGCTAGGACTCTGTAATCCCGTGCCATCGATGTATATCACGTCTCTGAAACGCGCAAACAGGATCCGAGTAGAGTCATTCACTTGATCTCACCATTTCAAGATAAAGAAGCAACTCGATTTACCCTTCGTGTATCTGGAAGCCCTGATGCTGCTTCCCGGCGTTTCGCTGGTGTAAGCATAGCAATGAATCGTATGCCAGAACTAGCTCTCCTAGATCGGATCCCAGTAGATATTCGCTTGCGCGCTGTCAAACTGAACGGAACAGTAAGGACTCGGAAAGATAGGTTCACTCGTCGTCGCCTCTGCTTACGCTCCCACTAACTGCAGTTCAGACGAGGTGAAAGATGAGTTTTAAAGAAAGCTCTTGGACCTCCTCCAAAAGGTTGGGCGCTCTGATATAATAATAATCGCTGGAGACTTTAATGCTCAGGCAGGTAGACTCAGTGAAAAGGAAAAATACCTGGGTTGATCTTTGGTGTCGTGGCTCTTAGATCAGATAATGGCGACTGTCTGTTGCATCTATGCTCCGATAGTCGCGTAATACTAACAAACACTAACTTCAGGCATAAGAACAAACATGTCTTGACCAGGTGAATCCCAAAGCCGACACAGCGATGGACACAACTAGATCACACCGCCAAAAGCCACCGATGGAGGGGTTCGATAGAGGATCGTCGCTCGTACTGGGGCACATGTCTAGATTCAGATCATGCTCTAGTGCGATTGCGTATTTGTTGAGCAGCGATGTAAATGGTTCCCACCCTGAGGCAACTTGGAATGATAACCAAAGAGCTGTTGAAATAGCAGCGATATCTACTAGGAAGGTAAACCATAAGGTTAAGGAGGAACCGTGGATTTTAGTAGCGTCTGCCGAAATGATGTATGCTTGGAAACCCATCCTATCTGTCTATGAGTACGATGAGGAGTGTAGTCAGCCTAGGCGCAGGCGTTTTCACGTTTTTAGCACTTTCAGAAAGTGATCCAACACATATTTTATTTTCAGGTATGCAATGGCACAAATTGGTAATTCTGCACCAGCTTCGTATTTTTTTCTACTAACCAGAAAACTAACATGAAGTTAAGATTGTTCTGTTTGTTAATAAGTTATACCTACAAATTAACTGAGTGATATTGTCACGTTTTAGCAAGCTGGTCAGTTTCCGTAACAAAAGGTGGTCCCCATGCCAACAGTATAAAATATTTCTCAAGATGATTCCGGTTTTCACAGGATCTTTTCCAACATAATCTTATTTTGTTCGAATTCTTAGAAACTTAAAACCACAGTTGAAATAAAAATGTGACTAAGTCGTTAAAAACTAACTTCCAGTCATTGTATTGTAGGTGTGAACCTTACTTCACCGGCTTCATATTATAAACAGATGAATAGTATCAGTGTTACCAATACAAGTGTGGCTTAAAGATGAATAAATAAACGTGCACTTAGTAGATAAAATTACACAGAAAACAATGAAAAGAAGAAAAATTACTTGAATAGTATACATCTCTTTTTAATAGGTCTCCTCCATCAACTCGACGCACACCAGAATCACAGATACCAGTTTTCCAACCATCAGACTACTCAGAATTTCAGGTATCTAATAACGAAACAGTTTCTCCGTTTGATTGGAATGATTCATTTAATTACAACACAACTAAAGTCAAATCAACTGAATTTTCAACGGGACCATCTCAGCATACAACTAACAACAACATCAACAATATACCAATCTGTGAACCTGATGTACTAAACGTGATGGACAAACATCATATTACTCTAACGAAAACCGATGGAGAAGAAAATTTTCATACTTTAAGTATTCCTTATAGATCTGTGCAGGTAATAAAACTTCATTTGGTACTGTATAACTTTTAGTAGGACGTTAATGATTATGAAGTGAAAATACAATTCGGAATAAATGATAATTTGATAATTATAAAGTTGCCTTTTATTAGGATGTTCGTTTTTAGTGTTATAATAGTCAGTAATATGTATTTTTATGGAATATTTTATTATTTATTTATTTATTAGAAAACAAATGAAGAAAGTTCAATAGCTGGTACATCAAATCAAAATGAAACAACGCATATTGATTCATCTATATGCACTTATGAAGAACATTCTGAAACACTTCAACATCCTGTTGTTTTCTCTGTTGATTCAGATGATATAATTCCTGATGAAACTAATCAAACAAGTGATTGCAAATACTTGCCAAATAATAGTATGTTTTTTTAAGATTATCTATGTGTTTAATCAAACAATTCATATTCACATGATTTCAAATTCTTGTGATACCAATACTTTTTGAACTACGTAAAACAAACAGAAATGAGAGTAGCCAACAAAACGGCATAATGAAGAACCTATTCCTTGACACTATAATCTCATTGTTATTTTAAAAGAAAGTTCTGATACAGAAGTTCAGTGTAAAAGATGAAAACTGTTTATTTGGAAACGTAAACAGTTTATGAGTAGCGATTATGCAGGATAACTAAAATACTGCATAAGCTTCCCGAGTTTAATGAACAGACCAGCAAAATATTCTTCGTTTAAAAATAACTGCACAGATATACCGTTACACCAAATTCATGTTATACAGTAGATACAGCATTTACAAGTAGACTAACAAAATATTGGAGAAATACATACATATTGGAGATGAATAAATTTGTCATCTAGTAATCAGATGACAGAGTTTCTGGGTAACTGACTAATAATTGATTGAGAGTTGAAGTTCACAATTTTTTCGAAATTCATCAGAGTCAGTCAGTTAGTTACACCGTAGACTTATGTACATACACCACAAGCCATCGCTCGTCGAGGCAGCCGGTGGTTGGGCATACGTAACACATGTCCCAACCACCTCAACTGATGGACTTTGACTACTTCATCAATTGATTTGCCATCCCTACGTTTTAGTCGATTCCTAACGACAGCATTGCTTACTCGGTTGTCCCAGGATATAAGAGCAATGCTTCGAGGACATCTATAATCGAATAATAATAACCAAATAATAGAAAGATTGCAATGCGACTAGTGATCCTTAACATCTGACTATAATAAAAGTATTCATAATATACATTTTTAATTCATGAGGGTTCTATTTTTAGCAGGATATTACAATAGTTAATTGATTAATAGTCATTACAGAAAGTAATTTCACTCCAGTATCTGATTCGGTATTCTAGTCTAACCAGCTAAATTAATTTAAGCTTAGTGACTCAATGCTATTATCCTCACCAATAGAGCTGAAGATCAAGAGTTCTGTCATGTGTAAGGTCATTTTGATCAGCACTTTCAACCAATTACAAAATAAGATAGAACAACTGATTCAATACAACTTGCTTTACAGTGATTCTCTTGCTGATATTAGTAGTATTTTCAAATTATTATGTTTACGTATAGCTATACGTTGATGTGACAGACTCACTTTTCATTCTACTCATTAGTTATTTATTCGACCAACTAAACTTATCTAATTTTTTTTTACAGCAAACGATTTAAAGTATAATAATACTGATGGACAAGACTGGCGCCAACTTCCACTAAATACAAGTTTCAGTAGTATGCTTTCTGAAAGTGGATTACCTGAATTATTCAATCCTGATTATATAAAAGATTTGATTAAGGAAGATGTAACCGACCTGTGATATTGTTTTATGTAACAATAAGTTTGAAACCTTTACTAGCTATGAAGTATGTGCAATCATTTTTCATATTTAAAAAATCTAATTACAGAACAATTAATATTTTCCAAATAATATTTTTATGATTACATAATTGTGTACTGTAAAACAGCTGTTCTTAGTAACAGTTAATTGTTATCTTAATGTGCTGACAGACCCGTCCTAAACTGCATGTTGGGACTTTCAATGTCCGGACATTGTGTCAAATAAGACAACACGCTTCACACTACGTCAGGTTCTGAAAGAGAGACACACATTTCGTCGTCCCACAATATTAGTATTTCTCGACCTTAAGGCGGCATTCGACTCTGTCGATCGTGAGGTTCTGTGGCAGTGTTTGTCATCAAAAGGTGTACCAAATAAGTACACTAACCTTGTACACTACTGGTCGAGTTAGAGCTTATGGCAAACTATCATCGGAATTCATTATTTCAAGCGGTGTCCGTCAGGGCTGTTTATTCTCTTCATTCTTCCCTAAGTTTGTCATAGACTTGCTTCTAGACATAATATCTTCATCTGACTTTTCAGCAGTAGACTTTCTACCAGGAAACTCGCTTGTTGACTTGGTTCGATTTGGTGAAAAGGCTGATAAAATGCAGTGTCTTCTGACTACCCTAAGCAACAATGAGAGCATGTTTTGCATGCGGTTTTCTCCCTCGAAATGCAAAATGTTGCTCCAAGATTGGCTTGCATCGGCGCCTGAACTAGTGGTAAGGAGTAAAGTAGTTGAGTGTGTTGGCCGATTCACTTATACCGGGAGTCTCATCAATGCTGATGGCCTGGTGACTGGCGAAATCTCAGCACGGATACAGAAGGCTCAAATGGCTTTTGTCAACTTGAGTCACTTATGGCATGGAAAAAGTCTATGTTAGCCAATAAAAAAATCTGTAAAACCAGATCAGTGGTGATGAATTCTAAATGCAGTTTCAAACGTGAGACACATATAATAGAAGTTGGTTTACTTTTAATGGCTTCACTAGCCTTTAAGCTTAGCTGCTAAACCTAAAGGATAACTAAGTCAAGCGTAGAATACCTGTGGCTATTTATTTGATTCTGAACTACTCAAAAGTTATCATAGTCTTTCATTTTACTCTTTACAAATTTATAATGAACCCGAACAATTCTACAGAAATCATTAGTCGAAAACATATCCAGCCCATGTGAAATAGTTCCGCAGAAAAACTCAGGTCTCGAAGAATATCTTGGTAGTGCCTGAGTTGTTTCAGAATAACACGTCAGCTTCGCTTTCCCAAGCAGAACTCATGAAATCTTCAACTAAGTCCCTATTTGTGGTCACAATTTCAAAGATATTTTCTTAAGTTCATGTGTAATGTTCCCGTGTATAAAGTAACTTTACACTTGAAGTTATTTCATACTTTCATAGTGCGAAATGCAAATCATATGAATAGATATTATCGCTCAACAGAAATACTGATAGTTTTGTAAATCAAAACCATAGCGGCCGGCTTATCGAATGTTTAGTGAAGATGGATCATACTGCCATTAAATATTTAAGAGGAAGTGAATCCTTTACCAAACCACTACAATTGGTGAAATCTTGTTGTAAAAAGTACAGAACGAATTTACATCATCTGAAAAGTATCCGAGTGTAGTTTTGGGGGTTCATTTTTTCTTAGAATGAAATGACTTGATTGAAAATATGAGTATCCAACTATTGCCTCTCTACCTTACAACTACTTGAGATATTGTCTCAAAAGTTGGGTTACTGTTACACACCTAGTCACAGCCTTCTTTAGCACAATGCTGACTAACAGATAGTTGAGCTGAAATCAAGGCAATGGGTGCATTAACTCGTAAATCTACCGTAGCTGCTACCGTGACAGGGTGCTCAGGCTTGCCTGTCGTGATAACTCGACCGTGATATATTAGTTGGGAGACATTTTCTTATGGGTCCTACCATGCCAGACAGGTCAGTTAGATAGAGATAAGATAAAAAGCAGGAACTCAATGTCTGAGGGCGAGGGGATTGATAGCAGTAAGTTGTTTGCCCCGGACAACCAGCATCTGCAGCGATGCTGCCTTCTCACAAGGAAGGAAGGGTTAGAAAAGGTCGACCCTAAAAATGTCATACATCATGGATTTCCGTTCCCGGTGGTAAGGCCATTCGAAGAGAGGAGCTAACACATTAAAAACTAAACATAAAAAGTCTATGGCGAGTGTACCGAAGAAGTGCATTAACCTTCTACAGGCTCCCTACTGGAATACTACTGTTTGTGTCCGAGTTTATGGCGAGCTGCTACCAGAATTGATTACTTCAAGTGGTGTTCGTCAAGGCTGTCCACTCTCTCCATTCTTATTCAACTTCATCAGAAACTTGCTTCTAGATATAACATTATCTTCGTCTAACTTTCTAGGAGTGGACTTTCTACCTAAGACTCACTTGTTGATTTAGAATATGCTGGTGAAATAGTCCGATTCGGTGAGGACGCTGACAAAATGCAGTGTCTCCCGACTACCCTAAACAACAATGCTAGCATATTCTAGATGCGGTTTTCCCCCTCGAACTTCAAAATGTCGCTCCAAGATTGGGTCGCATGGGCACCTGAACTAGTGAAAGTAGTCGGGCGTGTTGACCGCTTCACTCATCTTTGGAGTTTCACCAGTGCTGATAGCCTGAAGAAATCTTGGAACGGATAGAGAAGGCACCACTTGCTTTTGTCAGCGGACATCATTTACAACGTAGTCGAGATATCCGTCTGCTAACCAAAGGACGAGTGTACTGCGCAGTAGTTCGCTCCGTCCTACTTTATGGCTGGGAAACATGGCCAGTCAGAGTAGAAGATATTCGTAGATTGTTTGTTTTCGTTCATAAGTGTCTCCGAAGCATTGCCCGTGTTTCCTTGGATGCTGTTGTTAGGGAATGGGTCAATAAATGAAGTAGTGGAACTTCATCAGTTGAGGTGGTTGGGACATCTGTTACGAATGCCCAACTACCGGCTGCCTCGACGAGCTATGTTTTGTGGTGTAGAGATAGGCTGAAAGCTAGGGGTGGCCAGACTGAAACATGGCGCATCAGTGGTTAATTGTCAAACCGCTTTATTATTCAAGGTTTCCTATCTCCGACAAACAAGTTTTTACTGACAGCTGACTGTTAAGCGTAATGTAGATCTAAACATACTTGATATATCCTAATATTTAGGTCAGGCATATACCAATAAAACGAATTTTCTTCTGCAAATTACCAACCATGTAAGTGTGAAAAATTTATTCTATAGGAATTTTTATTTACAACATTATATTTCTTGTGATCCTAGTGTGATAGTAGCAGGATCTATGCCCACTTTACTGAGTATTTCTTGTTCAGTTACTTTTTCTCCAGAAAAAGAAATCAATTCTTGTAGTGCATTCCAAGCTGCTTGTTTCCATTTGTTTGTAACAGTTTCTAAATTTAGCATTTTATTCTAGAATAATTCATTGGTTATAACTTACTTCACTGTCATATCGACATAACAGTTTAAGCTTTCTTAATACTTCTTTCTTATCATCGCCTGATATTCCTCTGATTCTTGGATTAGCGTACTAAAAATCAATGAAATATACAGTTGATTGACTACTGGTTGCTTTTTTGTACTCGTCATATGTTGGTCACATGTGTAGCTATCAGATGTGAAATGAATTCTAAATGAAAAAAGGATATCAGAGATGACTCTTTATACTGATCATGTGCATCTAATATGATGCTTAAATAAACTATTCATACTACATTTAAACTAAATGCAAGTACGATAAATTCCAAAATAAAAGCGAAGTAAACCATCGGTCTAGTTAATCTACAATAACTATAAAGTAAAAATGAGCCTAAAAGAAGCTACAATTCATTGAGGGATAGAAGCATACAAATGAACAAGATGCATATTTCTCGATTTCTCAATCATTTGAACGAATAACACAGCTATTGTTGCTACCTCATCATCACGGTGAAGCACTGTCGACTCGAAAGGCTATAACAGCACTGAACGTGAAAATAATAACTATACCTATTCTAGCCGACCGTAGCTGCTACCTTGACGTGGTGGTCGGGCTTGCCGATAATGGTGCTGCGAATGCTAACGTCAAATATGACAACAGGCCCGAAATGCAGAATCTCGCGCCATCAATGTACGCTGCATCTCAGAAACGCGCATGCAGGATCTGAGATGTAATAAAGAATTCTTGGTAAGTCGAAGCCTGAAAGTAAGAATGTTTAAAATGGAGTCAGATATTTTAGGAGAAGAAAAGAACAGGACTTCCAGGAATATCATATACAGAGTAGCTTCGAAAGCTAGAAATATTTACTTTATCCCACCGTAGATCTAGAGATATGAGTTTGATGTATAGAACACTTAAACAATTATTTTGGACGTAATATATCGTCTATTTTACTTTTCGCTACGTCAAGACGCCTTAGGGGGCATAGCAGCCCAGGCAAAAGCCAAGGGCGAACAAAATACCCGAGTAATACAGGTTTGTACATCGAGTAACTAACTTTTGGTACCTGTTACCCAGTGATGTGCCAGTACCTCCCATTGGCACCTTCAAAAGAAGACTACAAACTCAAAAGCTTATTAGGAAACTGCTAACCTATAATGTAGGCCTGTTTTCTTTAGCACAAAAATCTGAATCTAAAAAGCAAATGGCGATAGGTAACAATCGACAACTGTTCAGACTTATCAACGGAACGGTAAGATCCCAGTCGTTATTATAACTACTTTGGAAAAACATGTGACCACTATATACTCTCAGTCCAGGAGATTCAGTAATTGGTCATAAAGAGAAGACTTTCTGACTTTTGATATACATTCAAGTATGTTTGCTGAGACGGACTGATTACTATTTAGCGATAGCTGTAGCAAAGGTGATTAGCATTAGTAAAACAACAGCATAAAACTTGTAATAGAAAATTTATGGATAAAATATAAATCAGAACAGTATGTCAGGTTCCTGAGAGAAGCTTCGGAACGTGAATTCGATATATGTAACAAGCCAACGAATGAAGGATGAAAGAACATGGTAGACGATCAGTCAAATGAAGAAAAGTGAAGAAACAGATGAGTGTCAATTAGATTGTCCAACAGAGCAGAATACCAATACGTTCTGGCAAAAGAAACTACATGAAAA